AAAATATATATAAATATAAGGTGGTACGTCAAAATATCTGAAAATTTCAAGTGGTACGTGGTTACTAAAAGGTTGAGAACCCCTGCTCTAGAACAACACCATCTTAGGATTGACAAAAAACTAAAACCGAGATAAGATTAATGAAGGTCTTTTTGGTTTGAATTTTCTATCGTCCTATAGATGCGTCTGCAGTCTCCATCTTCTACATTTTAGAAATCGAAATTCCTTGTCCTGAAACTGTTCTCACTATGCCAGAATCGTTTACACTCATTTACTAGATTTTTTCATTTCAGGAACTCTGGAGAGGCGCTCTCAACTGGACAGCGTGGCGGACCCTCTTGCTGTTCGTGTTTTTCATAATCTGTCCACCAGTGTGGATAGCGTTTACTCTTCCATTAGGCCATAAATATTATAAAGTACCGATTATCAAGTTCATGTCGTACCTTACATCCCACGTGTATCTGATGCTGTTCCTTTTGGTGGTAGGCATAACACCACCATATCCAGTCGTACGAAAAACTTTAATTCCTTACTGGTACGAGTGGATTCTCCTAATATGGTTAAGTGGGTTGTTGTTGTTCGAACTTACCAATCCCAGCGACAAATCCGGGTTGGGGTGGATAAAAATATCGGTTTTGTTATTCAGTATATTTGGTGTAGGGGTTCATTTGTTGGGATTTTTGTTTATTGAAAAGACTTACTGGCCCACTTTGATGTATTGTAGAAATCAACTATTTGCTCTCAGTTTTGTACTAGCGTGTGTTCAAATTTTGGACTTTCTGTCATTTCATCATTTGTTCGGCCCTTGGGCTATCATTATAGGAAATTTAATGAAGGATTTGGCAAGGTTTCTAGCTGTGCTAGCGATTTTTGTTTTCGGATTCTCCATGCAATTTGTTGCTCTCAATCAACCTTTCCATAATCTATCCAAAGACGAACTTCTAAGACTCAACAAGCAAGGAGTTTTGGAAAGAGGATATTTCGTAGCAGGTGAGAAATATATTTCATATCTAGTTTAGAATTACTCCGCGAGATTGAACTATCATGAAGACTGAAGATCAGCTTGGACCTTAGAAGTCATTCCCTTCATAACGATCTTTGTTCTTCATGAGATTTTTACCAATATTTAAAGCTATTAGCCCATCTCCGAACTGTCATATTTGAAAATTATATAAATATTTCAGTTGGTCTGCATTTCATCAATTTTTTTTTTTCACAATAAACGGTTGGTATTCGTAAACTGTAGAACTCTTTCGGAAAGTCATGATCCGAGGAAGCCCTCAGCAATGATAATGTAATTGTGGTTACAGTTCATGAAAACAACGAGTGATAACTAGATTCCTTCTAGAGATGTATTTAATTATATATCAGTTCGGACGGTTGCCGGCTGATTAGCAGGATTGGTTGGATTTGCTCACTACTATGTGATCATTGGTTCGATTCCAACTAGGAGATTTTCAATTATTACCAAAAGAATGTTTTATTCATGGGAACATAAGTCAGTAAAAATTTATCATCCGCAGCTTTCCTGTACATATTATTGAATAATTTTGTTGTAACAAAATATACTGATTTTTGTGAATTCCAACATCAAATATTATTTATAGGAAAGCTCTAACTCATCAAGCTTCAGTGATTTATAAGCCCATGAATCGGTGAGAATGATTGCTATAAAATATTTCAGTGTGGATTATGTTTCAATATATCTTTTTATCTAATCTTCTCCGCATCAACTCCCGAACTCTATCAGAAACAATCCTGGTGTATCCGATTTCTGATGTCTTCCGCATCTTCAACTGGAATAGTATAAACTAATGACTCTAGGTGGCCCCATAAAAAATAATCCAGAGCGTTCAAGTCCGCTTATCGAGCAGGCCATAAGTGAGATCCACCTCGACCAATCCAGCGATCTCCGTATGTTATTGTTAAAAACTTTCGAGCCAATATATTAAAATGCGCTAGTGCACATCGTGCATAAACCATATTGCATTTCTTGTAACCAATGGTACGTCCTCCAGAAACTGACGTAGCGTTTGTTCCAAAACGTTGCAGGAAGACTTACCTCGCCGGTAAGTCTACCTGGCAGAAATACCGGTCCAAACCGAACAGAAACTGAAACAAATAGTCTCTAAGAATGTTCCAAATCATCTCGTTACTTACATTTAAAGTATTTGCAATTTTTCGAGTAGAAGTACCTGGATTTTCTTCTATCATGGTCAGCACATTTTCTTCTACTTCTACCGTTCTTACCATCCATAATTGAAGACTTCACTAACAAGACTTCAAGTATCAAACAAAGAAAATGAAAATGCACGTCAAATAAACAAAGTCAATCAATTTCAACCTATTCGACACATACAAATGATCACTTACTAGACATACTATTCAAATTGACTCTCTACAGCCGTTTGTAGTAATAGAAATGTTGTTGACCAACGGAATGTTGTTGTGTTTTTATTACTTGATACAGTGTAGTACGCTTTATTTTATCTCGGCTACGTTAATAATTTCAAAATTACAAAAATTGTTATTGTCGAAATTCTTTTTCGCCCCGTATCTTCGAAAAGAAGCGCCCTATCAAAAATCATCAAAGGACAAAATATCCTCAGAATACTTCAAGAAATAGTCCCTTAAGTTTTTGCCGCATGTATATAATCTGTATCTATAGGCAAGAACACTTTTGTTATTGAAACATATTTTATAATGTTATGTAATGTTATCTTTTGTTCTATTATGTTCATGTAGTAAATGCATACTTGAGTAGTTCACAAGAAGCAAGAAAAAATTTTTTGTGAGCAAAATACTTAGTTTGTCTGCTGAATCCACTGCTGTGAATTTATCATATTTAGTTATGCTGCCAGTTTCTTTTTGAACATCCAGCTAATATTCATGGTACTTGTTTATTCCTTTCTGCAGCATTTTTATCCTGCCTTGCAAATCTATCAGAGTTCATATTGTTTCTCTAACTCTAACTAAAAAGTCAATTTACTATCTGTTTTCATTGTCTCATCAATAAATAAATAAATAGTTCGTGAAGATCTTTTTGGGTAGTTATATATAAAATGAGCTGCAAGAAGCACAAATGTATTATTATTTTTTTTAACTTCCATGTCGCCATTTTTACAAACAGAGGTCAGAAAAAATGTTATCCAGTGAGCCACCGCTCATATTTTCAGGGACTTTATGTCTTTTGACAATTCAAAAATATCAACTTGTGAACTAAACTATTTTGGGGATCGATCTTTGATTTAATTCATACCAAAAACCAACCATTTTTCCAAATTTAAATAAACTATAAAAAACCGATACTTCGGAGCTGGGCTACATGTATATAGCTTCAGCTTGAGAATATTTTTGAATTCGCCTCATCTTCTCCAACAAATACTGGAAGTACAAGCGAAACTTTCAAACTTGAGCACGAAAGCACAAAAAATCTTCTCACCAACTTCTTCTTTAGATGATAAAATTGTATATTTCATGTACTATTTACCTTTCTACAAATAGAACGCGGTTCGTTGATTAATGATGTAGAATGGATTGGGGATCTGAGCTACAACCAGCCGAGAGCCAACCTGCGTAAGAAACGTATAGAAACCGGGAGTAAGTTCTTACATGTGGTCGTTAGCTGTGGCTCTAGAATTTCGTGTCTGTCCAACATGTGAAGACCTGTGTATAGTTATCAAAGATGTATAGTTGCCTTTTAGGTTACGTCTCTACGTGTTTGCTGATCAGTTGCTTGAGTGTCTGTTCCTGTCCGCCTAGAAACGTCTACGAATATGTGTATGTTTCGTCTTTTTCTCCTGAACCCACACATTCCGATTATTCCTTCGAAGAACATGCCGAATATTTTCAACTCCTCATTCATATATTTTCGAACTATATTGTTGATTTGGAAAAAATGTACTTCCTTCAATGATAGAAATCCATAAATTCACTTCTTTTAACAAAAATCAATGTTTTGAAAGTGATTTTAGACGTTCCTTGATGAATGTTAGTGGTTCGAAACACGATACGAAATAGTTACTGCACATTTCGATTGTTACAATCTTAAATTTTCTTCCGATGATGACTGACATCTCCCTTAAGATTATAGACTAGTTATGGGTCCAAATTCAACGAAAAGTTTTTACTATACTGAAAGGGAGTGGACACTAACCTCAAAAGCAAATGATAGAGCCCACTGAGCTCACTGAATTGATAGGAAGGAAGGAATACAATACCTTCGAAAAAATTCTTCTTTCGCTATAAAGAGAGGAGCATCACCTAGGCTACCCCACCTGTTACAGCTACTGAAGGTTCACCAGAATATGCCGCTCAGACTGATCATCAGTACCAGAAATTCTTAAACCCATAACTGAACAAGATCATTCTTGGAGCATTGAAGCCATTTTATGGAGTTACCTAGGAAAATTGGCGCAGTCCCAGTGAAATATTAACCAATCACCCTCCATATTTGAAGGAACTAATCTCGTTAAAACGCTATTTCATTGAACATTTACTTTCATATAGAAAGCCTCGATGAGAAACTGAACTACATCTAGCAAAATAGATATCTCAAGAAGAAGACATTTCACAAATGGACCAGAAGGCTACAATAGATGGATGAAGAGAAAAAATCATAACCAATGCTATCTATTTCTTTTTTATGTATATAGACTATGGAAAGGAACAAAAGAATCGGATCTCTTGAAACAATATACCTAACAATAACAAGAACTTCAGGAACTACGTTCGAAGGTCCACATTGGCAAAATCAAACTCCCTACACTGTAGGCTGAGACTGGCCTGAACGAATTGTTCCTTTAGATGATTTGATTTATAGCCTTCAAGTATGCCCACTGACTATATGTGAAAAGTTTTCTTTTTTTATACGAGGAATTGGGCAATGCGGATATGCGGTTGGTTACCTCGTTCACAGGCAGATGGAGGGATGACAAACCTGTTGTTTGTTATCCGCTTCAGCCTAGTTCGATGAATGATGCTCTGAAGGAATTCGATTTTCAATTATCGGAAATCATGGACTTTATGATGATGATAGACACTACCTTGCACTGACGAGTGGCCAAACAACCCGAAACCGGTCTGCAAGTGTGTTCCAATATTTGAAAATCTATTGCGACAGTTGTATCACCAACAGCATATATATAGGAATCACTTCAGTGAAGAATCCTGCATTGACACCTGTCGCATAGAATCCAACGCCCCCCGTGGTATTACCAGGGGAGTAGTTGTTTTCTGAAAGGTGTCAGTCCATTAACCTACAGTGTAGGGAGTTGAGACTGACCAGAACGAATTGTTCCTTTAGATGATTTGAAAAACATTGTAGTCTGGAGTCTTGAGGGACAAGTCAGTCATGGAAGTCCATGTATGTAACATTCAAAATGTATTCGATAACGTCAGTGTCATAGAAAATTAATACTACTCAAGAGTGTTAACGTCATAGGTGACATTTAGATACAAAAATCTACTCGAGTTGTGAATAACATTAAAGTACAATTTGATTTGATTCTGGTTAAAATCTTCCAGAATAGTATCGATAAGTATTTTTTGTTTTTCACACTTTTTGAGCAGACTAAATTATCACGATAAGTGAGTTTTCAATAACGAAACAAATATGAGTTATGAAGGCGATTTGTTCACCGTTTTTCTTTGTTGCTGTAACTGAAATGATCCCTGGAGGATTATTCAAATTATCGTTACACATAGGTTAGGTTAGGTTAGGTTAGGTTACACGTTTAATAATTAATGAAACAATATCAATCGATACCACTAATTCAGTCATCCTACCAGATTACTTTTTTCGTAGTTATCAATTCTGTCAGAGTTACTTGGCGATATCACATCAATTATTGTAAATTTTTTATTTTTGTTTAACGTAAAACTTTCCTCCAGAAATATTAATGCCAATACAAATCAGAAACGAACCTTTCATGACTTTTTATTTTACGAATTTAAAATATATTAGTCAATACATGTCATTCAGTTTTTGTCAACATCCCATAGTCAAACTCTGGCTTTGCTAGAGCATTTGTCATTATATCAGCTTGCTGTTTGTCTGACGAAATATTTGTCTCATAATAGTCAGTTAGTTTGGCGCATATTTGGCAATACAGTTGATCATCACCCGTTAAAAGTTCTATTTTCAGATGATTCAACAATAATCTTTGCACGGCTGGTTATCTGTCATATTGGGTAACACTAGTTGAAGTTCTAGAAAGTCACATACGTTTTTGCTACCTCTTGAACATATACTATAAAGTAAACTAGTGAGGATTTTTTTAGCAAAAGATCTAAAAATACAAAACGAGATAAACTGTACGAAATCATTCAAACCAGAGGGGTCAGGTATATGGATTCTGCTATTTTCCTGCTCACGAATAATATTCATGAAGAATCCCAAAAATTCGGAACAATCCTCTTGTTATTCTTACGAGTATCTAGTGGACTTCAAAGACTCTAGGAAATCGGTTGGCGGGAAAGATGATACATTCTCACGAAACTGCAGCTATAAGGGCAATGCATGATCTCATTAAAATTATTATGGTAGTCTCGACTTATATATGTTGATTTTTCCTTCAGAATCTCTTTTTATTTAAAAAACCTTCACAAATGTCCAAGTATTATTCTTTCTAAACTCTTCATCTCTTCATAAATAGCTTCTTCCTACTCCTTTGTATCAGAGCTAACTCTGATTTCATCTATAGTTTTGGGAACATCACATAACTTTCAACGTTAAACGAAAATTGATAATCATAATTGTCAGAATGACTTTCCACCACATTTGATCATTCTCTAAAACGTAAAAGATGTGTAATGTTTCTTCTACTTCTCCCCAAATTTTCGTTTTCACTTTCAGTGTCAAATATCTTTCTTACTATCATTTTCAAAATCTTCCATTTCGGTTGATTCTAGTTCTGACACGGTCAGGTCAAAAGTGAGGACAGGAACTTGTCATTTATAGAAATATCGTGACTTGGGTGATTGTGAAAACTATTTTCAACTACATATTCATTGAATAGGACATCTCTGGCGATAATTATCCTCTTCTTCAGGATATCGCAATCGATACCTACCAGTTTACTGCATATCCAATCATTATTGTGTTTTTTATGTTTGGGTTCTCAATTCTTTCGTAACATGGACATATGCAATGCAACCATCAATTCTTGTAATGGTAGATCATGGTTCTCGCTTTTTCCATCAGTATTCTGTTCATGCGTTCACTGACTCCGTTTTGCTGCGGCGTATGAATTTTTCTTTTCTTGGTTTCGTATTGCTTCGAATGATTTACATTTCAAATATTTCCCAAAATCGGATATATCTTGCCAAAAGTATATTTTAGGTATAGGACATTCTTCATGAATTTGATATCTTTTTTTGTAGTATCCAAAAATAATAGAATAGTGTATGGTTTCCATTTGAATAAATCGTGTTTCATCAGTTTTCTCGATGTTATGTTTTAGGTGGAAATTTCGACCACCCTGTAAATTATTTTCAAAAATTTGATGGACCTGTTCATGACGTGATGCTTAAGGTGTGATTCTGTGAAATTTTACATTTTCAACTGTTACTGTCTATGAGTTATGATTTTTTCGGAGTGTTGCTGTAACTGTCAAATTTTTCAGAAAAAAATTGATATCTCGAAAACTAACAAATTTGGGTATAGGCATTGTTATACAAAGTGGTCCTGAAATGTGCTGAGAAAGTCAAAAATGTAATAAAATACAGGGTGTTCCTTTTGAAATAAGGAAGTTGCCCTCACTTTCCGGTATAACTGTTACATATGTTGAATTTTTGTGTTCGTAGACGGTCATCTAAGATTAGTGTCTCATTTTATCTCAACACTCCGCGCACAAATATAATGAAAAAATCTCCAATTTATGCAATGTGCGAAACCTCTAATTCTGTTAGTCATGTCCTAGATATATTCAACTGCCAAATTATATATTCCAAAAGACATTTCTTAGCTGACAGTTCTGTTTTTAATTTTTTTTATATAGATTCACAAATTATATTATTTAAGTACATATTTGTAAATGCCACTGTTACTCCCTATTCTGTAATTGGGTTCATCCTGTACAATAGTGTATGAAATAAATAACGGAAAGAGACCGGAAGTTGAAAATATTTTAGTTGAGAAGGCCATTTTGTAAAACTCACTACCACAAAATGTATTTATTTATTTTGAATCGTTCTCTAGATTTCCTGAAGAACGCTCGTCGTGAAAGACCCTGTATAATCATGGGGAATTTTGAATAGCCACATTTTCGTATACAGAGACGTACTTGTCCATTTGCAACACTATTTGTCATATTATACTAGTTTACACGAATGACATAATCGGTCAAGTACGTTAGTGTAAAAATACAAGGCACATATCAATGTGTTGAGAGAAATCTCACTCACATAAACTACAATATGTAAAAACGAGTGATTTGATCATTATGAGAGGAGACAGCAATGGAGCATGTCTGTGATCGGTTGCTATATTGATGAAACAACGCCATATCAAACTAGTCTGTCTTTTGGACAGATGGGGAATTGTAATATCCCATACTGTCGTTATATGTTGCATGAGTTTCTTGAAAACTCAGTGAGGTTGTTCGTAGGGTTAGCATAGCGTAGGCTTGTATAAATATCTGTCGGATATAATACAATGTCTGGCGTGGTATTAGCCGGGGAAGTAGTTGTTTTCCGGTAGGCATTTACCAGAAACTACTGAGGAAGGGGGATCTCTCCTCGATACAGTCTTCAGACTTGTTTTTATTTCTGTCAAGGGTACTTGTACATAGGATGTTTCTTCCCCGCTTGGGGCTTTGTGCACGAGTTGGAGTTGTTACTAGTTTACAATATTTCTCTCAGACGATGGTTTCATACATGCAGTCGAGCCCTGTTAAAATTGATCGAGTCCCATGCACACTGCTGTTTGGCCGGATCTTTCCTGCACTGATGAGGGATAATCCTTCGAAACCGGTCTGTAGATGATCTAATCGATTGATTTCATCATGCTCCTGCTGCTAGATGAACGAGAAACATCTGCAAGACTAACTTCTGTGAGGTATCTTGCATAAATTTCTGTCGGATATAATTGAAATATTCAGCGTGGTATTAGCCGGGAAAGTAGGTATTTATCAGAACCTAATGTGTAGGTAAGTTGGGAGAGAAAAATGTTTCAAGATTTTATTTCGGAGTATTCATTTTGTTATTAGCTTCAACTGTTAAACGATTATACATTATTTTATTAGATATTGAAATCAGTGGTAGTAGCTAACTATTAAATTCATTTCTGAAATATATCATGAAGACAGTAATGTCATTCCAAACCTAATGTTCCTATTTTATGGATCAATAGCAAATAAAGTTAGATTAGGTTTTTGCTTTTTTCCACTTTCAACTCATTTTGCTCTGGTACCCTTGAAAGATTCTCCGAGCAATGGGAATTTATTCGCCAAAGAAATATTCTGATTCAGAAGTCTCAGTCGCATTTTGGGATTTTAGTCATCAGCAAAGCAAGAAAAAATCTGTTATATAGTGTAAATATTTGGCATGTATTTCGAGAATGTAAAATGTCTGCATCTGTAGCATGCCTGTTTCAAAATATTGTCCTGATGAGGGTCGGTTTCGGGGCAAATTTTTACTAGACTGATGTTCCCAGTGATAATGAGCCCACTTTTGGCATTCGAGCTGTTGTTTTTCGCCGTCTTTGGTCAGACAACCTACGACGAGCTGATCATGAAACCTAGGAACGTGAAAATATCTCCGCCCAGGCCCCTCTGGACAGAGAACCTCTTCAAAGTGGTATTTGGCATCTACATGTTGGTTTCGGTGGTTGTGCTCATAAATCTTCTCATTGCCATGATGTCGGATACATACCAGCGCATTCAGGTAACTGCTTTTATTTTATGATTCCAGTCCAAAAGAATCCGATCAGTGCTTTTGAGCTGCTGTTTTTCGCGGTTTTTGGCCAAACATCTACTGAACAACTGAAAAGCTACGGCCCAAACGCCATCAACCGTTCTAATAATCAACCCTATTGGACGGAAGTACTTTTTAAGTTCGTTTTCGGCGTGTACATGTTGGTGTCTGTCGTTGTGCTGATTAATCTACTCATTGCTATGATGACCGATACTTACCAACGTATACAGGTAAAGGATAGATAGCTGAGCTAGATTTGTGTTACCCCACGCTTACTCTAGAATATGAATGTTTCCTACTCTCAGTCATGAATCGGAATTATTATACTTTAATATATTTGAGATATCGTAAAATCATCGCTGTCTACCGAAGTTTTCAATAGTATAATACCACAATATTTTCCTCTCATTGTGTTTACTATTATTGTTAATCAAGATTTGCTCTTTACCTGATGGTAATATGAAAATGAAAGTGATTTTAGAACTCAGGTGAAACCTTTACAACATAAAATCAATTTTTGCCGAAATGAGATTGTTTTTGGAGAAATAAATCTAGAGCTTTTGAATTCATTCTTCGAAAGTGTTAATTTCTGCTTCTCCATTTATTTAATTCCAACCGCTTCTTTCATAGATACCACACCTTTTTGAATTTCAGGTAAACATGGACCAGTTTATAAAATTGCTGGATTTGAATTACCATGACTGCAATTATTCTCTCATTGTATCTGTAGTTTTCCTCTAGTACCTCCTTCTGGTAGTTTCTATTTTTTTACTGTTCTGGATTGTGGATTGGTAGTTTCTGTATGTATGTGAATATAATTTTGAATATATTCCTACATAGATCTTTCCTGTTTTCATAACATTTTCAATACTCTGAATCAACTAGTAAAATAACAGATTCATATTCTAAACTATAGAAGTTTAGTACTATGTATATTTGAATTTAGATTTATGACTCGTTAATTTCTTCTTCTCAAATAGAACCTCAAGTCTGAAATAAGTTCATGCAACGATCAAAATATGGTAACATTTTTATTTCTTGTTTATTGGATAAACTCGCAATTTCCACTTATAACGAAATTAGGAATTCATAGACGGAATTACGAGCATTAACAAAAAGAAATTGTCACCTTTTTGTATTATTCAGTTCAGATGTAACAATAGCTTTCGAATAAAACGAAGAAATCTTTTGCAATCATGATTTATTATATTTAAATTTTTCTAGTTTATTGATCAATTTGAGGAAATAATCCCTATATAGTTTTCTTGTATGACATGGCGTAATAAGGTACCGATGCTGTAGTTGCTGAATATTGATTTCTTCGAATGTTATTCCAGGACTCTCATTTTTCAAAGCGTACCTCAGCCACGTTCCAAAGGCCGTCAACCATTTCAATAATCAACTCTTTTGGGCAAAGGTACTTTTTGAATTCGTTTTCGGTGTTTCTCGATGTGTTGATATAATATGCTGACCGATACTTACGAACGTAAGTAAGGGTACGAACACAGTGGAATCATCCTTGTAGTCTAGACGTTAGCTTATTTCCTTGCCACCAGATAACTGTAAATGACGTACTGGTGCACCTAGTAGAATCTAGCAGGTTACCTAGATGAGCGATGTGAGCCTGAATGGAAGCTAAGAGATATGTGAAGGGTACAACACACAATGGAGCCGGGGTGGGCGCATACTGACATACTGGCTCACTAGATTAGCGCTTGACCGAATACGTTGACGCTCACAAGCTTAGTCGCTTGTTGTCGACCATTTCAAAGTTAATACTACCCCTATAGTCAATATATGCTGATTAGGATGATCAAGATGGGCTTGGTTCCATAGCGATTTTTTTTTCAACGTCTTCCCAACAAGTCTTTCCACGTTCATTGATTGTGTTACGACAAAAAATGTTGCCCTACCAGAAGAAACCAAACTGTAGTAATAACTGTGTACAAATATTTCTTCTACAGTGCGTTGTCGGCAGACCAGTGACAGACGTACTGACGGATCCCAACTGCCTCATGCACTAGTCACTCCACCTAGCTCAGAGATATGTAAGAAATCGGGGAAAGGATACCACATAGTGGAGCCAGGATGGACACATATTGGTACTCAAGACTAAAAACTCGCATGATAGTTTAGCAATTGGCTGAAATAGGGGAAACACGTTAGCCCCTAGCGCTTAGCCCAGAAGCTTGTTTTATATCGACATTTTACAATGAATTCAACCGCTTCGCCAATATATGTCAAGGTGGGTCTGGTTTCAGAGCGGAACTTTGTTGAACACATCCACAACAAATGTTCTTGCAACCATTGAGTTCAACAAAAAATACTTTCTACTAAAAAACACAGACAGTGGCAGTGGCAGACAGTGACAGACGTAGTGATGAACCCCAACTGACTCATGCACTAGGCATACGACCTATGTATGTAAAGAATCGTGGTAAAAACTCTTCTAGCTCCCATCAAGGCTCACAGTGCTCATCTGGGAAACCTGTCAGACTCTACTGTGCACCGGTACGTTGTTTATAATGAATAGATTGTTATGTCGTGGCAAATGAGTAAGCAAGCCACTAGCATTCATCCCAGCTCCTCTGTGTACGTACCCTAATTATTCTTTTAGTTTCCATCTGACTCACTGCGCTCATGTAGGTAACCTGCCAGGACCTACTGTGCACTAGTCTATTATTTGAAGTGGAAAGATTATTAGGTGACAGCAAGCGAGTAAGTAACCATCCGGGCTACTAGCGCTTATCCCGGCCTCACTGTCTTCGTACCCTTACACAGATTCTTCACATAAGGCGAGTTTTTGAATTCAATAGGAATTTTCTGATGGATTCAATCAATATATGCGTACTAACGATTCGATAAATGAAGCCAACAGATCAATCGGTGGTCATATCGGTAAATTTGATTATCGTCCATAGCTTCAAATTAGTTGGAATACCTTATACATGGTCAGTTAGCATCCACCACTACCAACAGTTCGCCAGCAAATGTAGTCGAGGCAAACTTTGTACGCAGCAGGGATGCCACTTTTATCACTTCTGTAATGAATCTTGTTACTATTATATATTTTTTACTAGGTTGGTACGTCGAAATACCATCTATTACGTTTTCGTAATTGGATCATCCTGATTATCTTACTACTGTTTTCAAGTACATTTTAAAATCTCATGTCAAACTTTGATTGATCTGTGTATCAAGTTCAGTCCAAAGATTGTCTAGGCATGGAGAATGTGTCATTCAAAAGTTACAAAATCACTGAATTTGTTACTAAATCATCTTAACTCTAGTACGAAAATGAATTATTGAGTGACAGTCCTGATAAGCAGTGACTATTGTATTTGTGTTTTTTGATAGTGATTCATTTTTGTCGATACCAAATCAATGGATGAGGAAAGTCTTATTGACTCATCTAAGTATGCCAGTATACGCCCATCCTGGCTCTACTGTGTACGTACTTCATTTGACAAGTAGCTGAGCTAGATTCATGTTGCTCCATGCTTCCTCAATGTCTCATGCTTCTTCTAGAATTATACTTTGATCTAATTGAGATATCGTAAAATGCATAGGAGTTTTCACAAAACTTTTCGCAGTCAATATCTACTATATTATTATTGTTGACCTGATCTAAAGAAGTAGTCTTGTGGAATGAGTTCAGATTATGATAATTTTCCTGTATGATTGTGACCTGATGAATTGGTTGATTTTGATTGTCTTCGAATTTTATTCCAGTACTATAATTTTTCAAGTCGTATATCAGTTTATGTACTTACGATTTCTTATTTTTATACTCAAGTGATTTTAGGATATCTNTGGTTTCCGCAAAGGATCAATTTACATAATCCTTGTTTCACATTATCTACTTTCACAGATTGTTATGTAATTTTTTCATATTGAGTTCATTTCCTATCTTTCTTCTTTCAGTTTCGAATGTCCTTCCTATTAATATCATCGCATCTGCATTCCAGCATTTCTCTTAGCCTCGTATCTTTAGGTTTTCATTTCAGAAATTCCCTTATTGCCTCTACTCGGTTTTGGTCATGATCAAACCATGTCAGTATTTGAGCCTTCATGAATCGAACAATGTCTTCTCCGTTCCTAATTCAGTACTGAATAATCGCCAAGATAATCCTTTGTGGATTTTTTTGGTTTCACTATTTTCCTGAAAATATTTCTTCTAGAATTCTCAATTCACCTTCGTCTTTGTTGGTGAAGCACATTGTCTGATACATAGGTTATGACAGGTATAATTGCTTCTTTGTATATTTTTATTTTGGTATCTCTACTAATGTCCCCGTCTTCAATATCTGTTGGTATTTTCATTAAGTTTTATTTCCCGCACGTATTCTTTCATTCATATCTGCGGTGCTATTATTTGTGCACGCAACTATTCCTCGTAACTAATTAAATCTTTCTACTTTTTCGAATGCGTATTTCTCAATTTTTATATTATCTATAAGCCTATTTTTTTTCACTTGAACATGTGTTTCGTCTTTTCTTGATTTATTTCAAGTTCTTTGATTTTTGCTTCATCTATAAGTATCTTCAATGCCAAGCCAAGCTTTTTTGGTTCTTGTCTCATAACAATTAATCCTGTTCAACTTTCCACCAAAAATTTAACATTCATCTTGATGACTGGAATTGGAAATCCCTGGCGTTAAATGAATCGATTGAAAACACTTTTCACCCACCTGAAGAAAAGTGCTGCCTCTCGTCGCGCGTTTCGCTAACCAAGTTAGCAATATCAGGATTAAGCATCTACAAGCTATGCTAATGTTTTTATATGCATATACACGAATTAATACATTGCATAACGATTGATATCTAATCTTTACCTAAGATGACTAAAACTACTCCTTACAAGCATCATCAGGGGCAGGCATCATTAAACAATGTTAATGTTTTCCTATGCATATACATGATTGTGTGCATATTGAGGGTCCTAATACTATGTTATCATCCTATTTTTATTTACTCCCTGACTGATTTATTATTTCTTCAATTCCTGTAATTATGTGCCAACAATAACCTATATAGGATTTTTTTAAAACCAAACACAAGCACAACATAAAAATCCTTAAAGCGTTCTAAGAGCGGTGCAAGTGCAAAATTATTTCCACTTGGAAAAACATTCTAAGAGAGTTTATTCCACATAAAAGCAGTTCTCCAAATGAAAGAGTTCTTGAGCAGTGATGTTCGAGGTGTACTGAGTTGAACCTCAAAATGATGA